GGAGTTGATTTTTCAGATGTTGGAGCCTATATTCTAAGCCAGGTAAACTCTTGGGACTGAGAACAATCGGAACAGGGTAGGACTACAAATACCCAGATGGTCTTGAACGACTATTATGAAATGAGCAACATTTTTTCTCTATAGGACTCCTGAATCTGAGATGGCCAAAATCAATAAAGGGCTACAAAGAGACAAAAGGTAAAACCATCCATATGCCTGCTTTCAAATTAAGAAGGAAACAGAAATCTTTACAAAATAAGTACAAAAAAGTCTTTTAAATGTTTTTCAGTTATATGTGGCCATAGAAAGAAAAGTCAAAAAGAGACAAGAGCAAAGACAGGTAGAAGTAGAGAGCCAACCAGAGGCACAGAAGGGAGAAGGGTAATGCATAATAAAGACATGCGGAGGGCAAAATAGAGTGTGATGGAAATGAGGAGAAAACTGACAATAACATCAGAGATTAACATTTTATGGTTTTAAAGTGAGTATCAGAGTCTACCCTATTCTATTCATAGAGCTGTAAGCTTTAGACTATCACATATATGTAGATAATAACTGATTGTTCTTCGAAATTTTAATTAGCTGATCAACCACTATTCACAATCCTTTAGGTACTCTTGTCTTTATAAGAACCTTCTTTTACATTTGTGATGTAGATATCACATCAAGTGCCTGATAAAACCAAGTTAAGGAACAGAGATTCACCACTCTTCATCAAGGACAGATCAATCTGGAGCAACCTACAGATGCATGAACTGAAAATTTATGTTTCCTAGCTTGGCCAGTACTCTCAAGGGCCTCTGCAGTGATCCTATATGGCCCGGGTGGGTTCCTTGGAGCAGAGGTGAACTGTTGGGACCCGTTGCAGTCAATGGAGCTTCTATTGACTATAATGTGAACTAAAAGTCACCACCTAAAAATACTGCTTCGTTCATTCATTCAACAAGCATGTAATGAGTAGCCACAATGTGCCAAGCACTTTATGAAGATAAAATACTCTAGGGTCATAGCCTATTGGGAGAGACTGAAACGTACAGTTAAAAGTACAGTGGTGTAACTGCTAGAAGAGAGGTCTATCCAAGACATTACGAAAACATGGAGAAAGGATATGGGACTAGAGGGAGATGTAGGAGGCGATGTCAGGAAATGCTCTCCAGAGAAGGTGATGCCTCAATTGACTCTTACATGATAATTAGAGAAAACTAGGTTGTATGGGGGAAAGGAAATGGGAATTAAACAATGTAGAGGCACCTGAAACTCCAGGAAACAAATTATTCAAGGACAGAACACCACTCTGGGTTGATGAAAGAGAGACATGATACAAGCCAGTCTACTTTCCTTCTATGGTCCCCACTATCTATCTATGTCTGTTTAGTATCTATAGGTTTATCTATTTGGTCTGTCCAGCCTTTCCTTAGATTATATCTATTAAGATTTCATTTTGTATCAGGCATATTATTTTATACATTTTCCTTCTGAATTGTTCCCTTTAAAAATGTAATCTCTAGTTTACCACGCTCATATTGAATACTATTCTTATCTTCCAAGACCATCATCTTGTCCTCTGCAGACTTAAAGAGCATACTTTCCATTTACATCCAGGTCATTAATGAGGAAACAAAGTAATGCCAGCCTCAGACCTGACTCATGCAGAACACAATTTACTATATCCACCTACCTTGATGGTGACTCACTGATAACCACCCACTAAGTGTTGCCATGTACCTTGGTTAAGTGTACAGGCACCTAGGTCTAATTTTTAGCTTATAAGTGAATGTTTTCTTGAAACAAAACCTAGTTTTGTTTTTCTGCAGGCACTCAATAATTGCGTCTCCCTTATTTGATCACTTGCTAAAAAGGGAAAAATATTAAGTTAGTGTAAAATGGTGCTTTCTTCCAAAGTCGTGTATTTACTGTGATGTGGCTTCACTTCAGACTCTGATCCCTGTCTCTCTTGTTAGAGAGGTGCAAAGTTTTTCCACATTATTATCACTTGTCAAAAACCAAGGGGCTCTGCTATGTCTCTCCAAGATTTCTGCTTTTAAGATCAATCCCAAGAAGAAAAGACTTAAACTCTAAAGCTGGTACTAGACAATGAGCTCACAAGGACAATATTTAGTATTTTTTCAGTGTGAATATTTACTGTAAGAGTGTGCTGGCACACTGGTGAAAGCTAGACACGCAGATCATTCAGGAAATGAAAATAAGCATCCCCACAGACACAGCCAGTTCCTGCCGAGGAGCCTGTCACATGGCTGCCAGATCTTTTCACGTCAACCTGACGTTCCTGTTCCATCAGTATAGAGCCTATGAAGTTAATATAAAGATACCATAATAGACATAGCCAATTTTATTTGTTTGTAATTTTTATAGACTCTTATACTTACTGTACTTCATTCCTACTACAACCTTATTGTGTATAGTACTCAGTAAGTCCCAAATTCATATAATCAAGAATTCTGAAGAGAAATCATTTACCAGGAGTTGAAGTGGTCTCAAAGTAAAACTTGTGTGGAATCATAAAGAATAAATAGAAATTAGGCAGATAAAGGAGCATGGAAAGTGATATACCAGGCTGAATAACAGGTACATAAATAAAAGTGTGTTAATGTTAATCTGAGGAAATAGACATGTTTGAATAGGGCCATGTAGTTGGATGTAAGAAAATTAAATAATAAAGAAGACAGGCTTTGGAGTCTCAGAGCTGGATTCAAATCTTACCTCTCAGATACTATTTATTAGCATGATACCATGAAAGTTACTTTCCTCAGTTTCTTCACTTATAAACTGGGGTGATGATGCATCTGCTCTCAGGGATATAATGAAGATTAGAGATAACATGCCTGACATCAGCTTGGCACAAAGTATACCTCTAAACGTGGTAGTTATTAATTAATAGAAGTTAATCCACCTTGTTATATATACATAAAATTCTTTATCAGGTGGCACTCACTACTTCAAATCTATTTGCACAAGTAGGATACCTGGTACCACACGGCAGGTGAGTCAGTGGTATAGTTGGTAACAGGAGAGATTTTACAATCTTTAACAGCCAGCATCCACTTGGCCAATGAACTTTAGGACAGGAAGCATTCAGGGACTGCCTGGGCAATGAAAGAAGGGGCACCCTAAGGGAAGGCCTGGCAATAGAGTCAGGAGTAAAACGTGATGGGTAGCTAAAATAGACGCAAATAGAATGTAGACATGAGACACCATGATGAAAAGACTGTGATGATACTAACAGCTTATATTTGAATGGTATTTTTCAAAGTGCTTTCTATGTTTATCATCTAATATAATTTTCACCTCTGAAGTAAGCATGACAGGTATTATCTTCTCCTCGATTGGGGAAACAATAACAGAGAGGTTAGATGGCTTATGCACGGTTAGAGCAGAGTTGGGTTGTTACATTCCACATCTCCTAGTTTCCAGAGATGCTCCTTCTGCTTTGCTACTAGCTCTTTACTATAGTCCGCCCTCCACTAGAAAGAGTAAAAGGCTTATGCATTACTTCCTAGGAAATAAAAAGATAACAGATGCATACCACAGAAAATCTTAAATGTAGAGCTAAACCATCTACTGAAAGTGTTGATAAAACTGAGGCCCAAGGAGACCAGAAGATTTAAGCTCACACAGTTATTTACTGATGGAGCTGTGACTAGTATGATAATCTTTTCCATTACACCAAGGTTATGCACATAACTAATTTATTCCAAGAAAACCCATCAATGAAACTTAGTCAATAAAATATGTTTATTCTTACTATTCACAATGGAGCAAAAAAATATACCAAATGAAAACAATCAATATTACCTGGTTTTAAGGAAACAAAAGAAAACAAACTGATGTTTTAAGGCAAATAATAATATTGTTATTCATTTACCAGAGAGCAATCAGCTCCAGCATAAAAAAAGACTGGCAAGAATGTGAAATAAGAACATGAGAAGAAAAACAGATTCAGCAGCCCACTGAGTTTTTCTCCTCTGTAAGCCAACAGGAATATATATTTTTTTGAAGTTGGATGAGCTGATACCAAAGTCTATATATAACAACAAACACCCAAGGATGGCCAGGAAAATAATGAAAGAGATAAACTAGGAGGGGGTTTAATGGTATCAGACACTAAATCATACTAAAAGCCACAATAACCGAAGCACTGTTGTGCTGGGACATGAATGGATAAAGGGAGTTGAAAGGACAGAAGCCAAGAAATTAATCCAAGAACATAAGAAAATTTAGGATAATCATATTCTAATCATAAATTTTAGGCAGCATCTCAAATAACTGGGGGAAAAGATGGGTTTCTTAATAAGTGATCCTCAGATAGATGGATAGCCCTTTGAAAAAAGATAAGTTTAGATCCGTATCTCACATCATACCAAAGTATAAACTTCAATGAGATCAGGGACCTAATGGTAAATTAGAAAACAATATAAGGACTAGAAGCAAAGAGGATTAATTCCTCTCTTACCTTGGTGTAGGTGAAAGTTTTCTTAAAATGACTCAAAATCCAGAGCAATAAAAGAAAAGATTGATAAATTTGCATGGAAAAATACCATAAGTGTTTTAATAAAAGGTCACAATGACTCCTATGGACTCTGTCATTGAAGTAATTCTAAAATTCTGTCTTACACTGGTCCCTTCATGTACAAACATTCTACCTGGTTGGAAAAGAGAAAATAAAAACCTCTGCAGTATTAGTTTTCTCTCCATAAATTGCTTGAAGGTTTCGCATATCACATTTACAATATGCCAAGTTCTTACCTGTAGAAGTGTTAAAAATGGACTATTCTTCTATGTATGTATAGTTTTGCATTACATTACATTACTAAGAGAATAGTCAAGTCTTGAAAGTAGCTCTTTTTCTCCTGTTCTTCACTCTCAAAATATGAAGGTTCCACAATTACATCAAAGACATTTTCCTGATGCTATTCAGGACCACTGATGCCCTAACGTATGCTAACTGTAAAATTCACACTTTCCTTGAGAAATTCTCCTAGATACAGACAGATTTCCTTTAGCACTTAGGCCTTTTAGTTCTGGTCTAACACTCACTAGCTGATGACACTGGGCAAGTCACATAATACCTCCAAAACCCTGATCCACTCATCTGTGAAACAACATCTGTCCTTGCACAGTCACTGAATTACAATTAAAACTGTATGCCCTTTTACAAACGTGAGGTTATTTTAATAATAATGCAGACCATCTAAGACAAATTAATCAAGGCTGTTTACTTAATAATTTACAAGTTGTTATTCACTGTATTTTAAAATATCTGTGACTCAGCAAAGAAGGAATTACCGCATTTAATAAGACTCATGAAATAATAAACAGAGCTTCCACCCACCTGGCCATTTGCTTGTAAGCTTCTTCAGCTACTGCAAAGATATGTGGATCCATATCACCCATGTTCTGACCACTATATGCATTAATAATATCTTCTCCATAAATAGGCAGCTGTTCATAAGGATTTATAGCTACTAGGACTATACCTGGAGGAGAAGGTGAAAAAGCAAAAGTCAGTGCTATCCTACTGGGCATATCAAACTTGGTAAAATGAGAATCACAGTTAACACAAATTCAATTTCAGTTACTATTAAACTAACAAACTGTTAAGGATCAAAATACATCATAGCCTTTGCCTCTGAACTCATTATATCTAGTCCTAACTAAAACACTATTTAAAAGCTAGACTACATTATTTAAAATAATGAAAACTGTGGCAATGTTAAAAGAAGTTTAAATATTTTAATAATATTTAAGCCAAAAATTTCACTTCTAGAAATTTATCCAAATGAAATAATCATAGACCATGTAAAGGGCTTTTTTAAAATAAAGATTTTTTATCATTAATTTTATTCATAACAGTCAAAAATGGAAATAAAATACATAATAAAGGGAAAGTGATTAAATACCCTGCTATATCCATGTAACAGACTACTGTGCTACCACCACAAATCATGCTTATAAAGAATATTAAATATCATAGGAAAACATGACACAAAACTATATATAGACTGATTCTAATTTTACATCTATTTATACTCTTCTATATACACACAGATAGGATACAAGACAACATAATACTGGTTATTTTTCAGTGGTGAATTATATGTAATTCTTTTTCCTTTTTTATACTTAGGAAAAAAAGTCCTTAAATTTTACAGCAGATGTGTATTAACTTAAGAAAGTCATTCATTCAGTAATATTTATTTGGCTCTACCTATGCTTCAAGTTTTTTCTAAGTGCTAGGTTTACAACAGCAAACAAAAAAAAAGACAAATCTTTGCCCTTGTGGACCTTATATTCTAGAAGGAAACTCAGACAATTAACAAAATAAGTAAGAAAAAATATATATCATAGGTTAGATAGTAGGAAGGAAAAGGGGGAACAATTAAACAGAGAAGGAAGACAGATACTGAGAAGAAAAGACAGGGCGGGCAGGAAAGGCTTCACTGAGAAGGTACCATCTGTGCAAGAAAAAGATACATTCAAAAAGAAAAAGAAAATTGAGAAAAAAATATTCACTTAATAGAGAAGAAAAAGAGCAATTATCAAGGCTATTAAAAATATAAATTATTTTAAGAAGAAAAGATAGCTGTCCCTGTTCAAAACACGGGCGTAATGATGAAATGCTGAGCACTGAGTTGGGTACACTTAGCAAAGAAACTTGGAAGGAAATGAATGGAAATCCCAGACCTGAGTCTCAGAAGAGAATGATTAGTGAAAGAAGACTAAGAAGTCAGTAGAGAAAAAAGAGCTAGGGATGGGGGAGGAAATAAAGAATAAAAAGAAAATAGAGAAAGAGAAAAAGGAAGGAAAGGGGGAATACACACACGTGCATGCTTAATTGCTGAGAGAAAAAATCCTGAGCTGGCTCACCGGCTGCTAATACTGAAATGAGCAGGGGCCTAGGCAAGCAGATCAAGGAAGAATGGTTATTACGAACAAGTCAAGCCAGTCCTGCATTTCTGAGTCACTGAGAAAAAGAGAACACTAAACTTCTTGAACACACCCAGAGGTAAGTCTTTGGACATATACTCTTCATGTAGTGGTTTTTGCAAGAGATGAAAGTAACTCGCAAATTGGTATTGAATCTGGCATATGACTTCTGTGGGGGTGAAATCCAAAAGACGGGCCCACTTCTTTTTATTTTGAGCAAAATTATGTAAGTTCACAAAGGAGTTTATTCAGCATACAATGCAACTAGCTAATGAACACTGGTAAGTCTTTTTGGTAACTGAAGTGATTTTGTCTCTAAGAGAAGATCCAAACACAGCCTTCTTCCCTCATGTACAATATTTCCATGGCTATGTCCATTACAGAAAAGAATCCACAGTCCACTCAGACAGCAATGCACACTTACCACAATATGTATAAATAAGTTTGGAATCAATAAAGCGGACTCTGAGATTGTGGAGCACAGCAGGCTCATGAAGATAGCTGAGGGCTGTGAGGTCATTTTCACCCACGAGTATGTCAGGGTTTCTTAAGTGAGGCAGCTCCTTGGTCTTTGGATCTAGACGATACTCCAAATCCTGAAAATGCACGAGATACAGCATCTGGATAAATCATGACATTAAACACAAAGCAGGCCCATGCATTTTGCTTATTTCTTATTCCTGATTTGCTTCTCGGCTATTAAATGCATTCTTTTCCTGGCACCTTCCAAAACCACAGAAGAATAAAGAGAGTCTTCGTTTTCACTAGACATGTTAACTCATATTCACATTTTTTCCAATGTAGTTCAAAAAGTCAAAGGCTGAATTTTTTTACCTAGTTCCTTGATGAGAGTTGTTTATCTTTAGTAAAATAAGCTTTTTCTTCCCTTCACCTGTTAAAAGTGATAGTATAACAGAGTGGTCAAGCGTTTGGCTCTAGAGCCAGATTAAACCATGTTTAAATCTCCAAACTAGTACTTACTCATTTTGTGGTCTAAATCTTTCATTGGTTTAAAAAAAAAAAGCATTATATAGAACAGCTCACAGCACGAGGTAAAAATTAAATAAGGCATTGCCTGGCATGTGGTAAGTATTTGGGAACTCCTAAACCCCAAGAGGTCCAAGAATCCCCTAAAATTAGGTGTAACACTTTATGTGTATATACATATGCATAAATATACACACATATGTGTACTCTTTTTAAAGACAGACAATCCATAGTTTTCACTTGATTTTTATTGAGGTGCTTGGACCCCCAAATTAGGAAACACTACTCACTTTTAAGCCAAGGGAATATGGCTTTATGGCAAAGCCAAGCATGGAGACTGTCATTCAACTACGTATTAAGGGCAAACAACATACGGCACATGAAAAGGAAAAAAAAGGCAATATAATTGTAGAGAGGGATAAGCTGGTTTTGTAAAAAGCCACGGAATACTTTTGTTAATACTAAAGAGATATATAGAGGTCAAATATTAAAATCAACTTGTAACAAACTATGATAAATGAGGAAGAAAGTTTTACAATTTGCCCCTTGATCTCTCTCTACCTGTTTATTAGGGTATAATCTCCTTCTCCAAAGCTGACTGGTCCTTGCATTGGCCCCTGCCATACACAAAAGCCACTTCCAGATGTGTGATCTCAGGTAGAATTACTTAAGATATCTGAACCTTGGCTTCCTTATTTGGAAAATAATTATAATACCACCTACTAACCCACAGGATTGGTGTGAGAATTAACATAAGAAATCACAGCCCAGTGTACCTAACAGAGTGGGTGATCAATGAATGAATGCTGAATAAATTAATTCCTTGGCATTCAAGGCCCTTCTAATCAAGCCTAATTCTTCTCTGCCTTCTTCCTGAATAATCTCCTTGCCTTTGTTTTGCTCTCCTGAAGTTCATCCTCCATGCTGCCACCAATGAGTCCTTTCTTAAACACAAACGTGGCACCTTCCTCTGTTTAAGAACACTACAATACTCCCCATAGCATACCAGGTGAAAAAGAGTTTCAGCATGAACACCAGGCCCTCTGTGCTCTGATTCCCACCCCTATCCTCTTGCCAGTCGTGTGCTCTCACTTCACATCCCAACAACATGGAACTTGTGTGTGCCCCCCAGACCCCTCCAGATCCCTGAAATGCATTCCTCCTTGTCTGTTTGTCCTTTAGACAACACCTCTCTGACTCCTAACCTTCACCAACCCTCTGACCATTCCGCCCTCTGTTCTATTTTTGTTTCCTGTTTATATTTATTGTATCATGTGTCACAGTATTCATAATTATATCTACTCTCACCTGACATTAATGTCAGAGAGCATACCTTTTGCCACCTCTGAGCATGTTATATAGCAAGTACCTTTCATACACAAGCCTTGAAATAGAACACACACCTTTCTAAATCTCTGCTCGAGTCAACTTCCTATATTCACTGTCTCCAAATATATTCCAATCCTCACAACATCTACCCTCTTTCTCTTTGTTAATCCAAACTCTATCTGTCTTTTAAGATCAGTCAAAACCCTTCCTTCTCTTTGAAGGCTTCCTTGACAGAGCAGCCCCTAGTGATATTTCCCTTTACTGGGATCCTAACTAAAGTCCTCAGTGTCTTCACAGTACAGCAGAGTGGTTATGGGCACAGACCATAAAGGCAATCTCGTGGCTTTAAATCCCAGCTTCATTGCTTAATACCTGCGTAGCCCTGAGCAAGTCCCAAACCGAGCCTCAGGTTCTTCATCATTAAGTGGTAATAATAACAGCCCCACCTCATAGGACTGCTGTGAGGATTAAGTGAGTTATAGCATATAAAACACTCAGAACTATGCCTGGCACATAGTAAGTGTTCAGTACATATTAACTGTCTGGACAGCATTACTCACCTGGCAGTCAATCATAAGTTTGTGTTTTGGTATCTTTAGTATTGTGATGTTGAACTAATCTTTATATCCTATATTTTCCTGCCGAGATTGTAAGTTGTTTAGAGGAAAATAATGTCACAAAGGTTTTTAAGAATAAAGTGTGACATGCCATGTGAAATGTACTGAAGAGATTAAAAAGGGTAGGACTAAGATGAGTCCAATCATGCAGTGAATGCAGATGGGACAGTACAGAGATATAATTGGTTTTAAGTTTTTCTGGTCACTAGCAAAGTGTTTTATACATAATAGCTTCTAAGTAAATATTCTTCATATGTCTACTTCCAGCACATATCAAATCTCAGACGGTTCCTTAAATGAGGTTTTCTTAGTTAACACAAATAGTTTTAACGGTAGCCTAAACAAAATACAGATAAACAGGAATATCTTTGGGAGGATTCAATGTGACTTTAAACCTAGTCATAATACATTCATAAACCAAAATAATTGGATTTTTTTAAGTATCTGCTATTTTCACTAAGCCATTGGGATAGAAAATTGAATTTGCCAAAATTCCAAGTGAAGTCAAGTATGTCACAGCAAATTTACATTTTTGAATTTCCTTCACTTTATGCCAAAAACAACAAATAAAAGGAAAATTCTTACCTTTCCATCCTCAAGGCGAAGCAGGAGGACTTTATCTCCTGGCTTATAATCTTTGAGCAGCTCTGCTGACTTCCAAACTTCCTCAGGATCAGGTATCCAAACCCTGGCAAACTAGAAGACAAAAAGAAAAAAAATTTAAACTAGCAGATCAATCACTTTACAATGAGATATAAAACATACCATGGATTTATTTATAAATTAAACAATTTATGAAAAAAGTAAATCTTGGCCAATATGAAATTTAACTTTTAAATTAGTAAATGAAAAGTATTTCAGCCCCAGTAGTACCACCATGCTCACGTTATAAAAAAGTATGCTCTGTACTGCGGCAGTAATTTCACAATATGTGTAAGTCATGTCATTATGCTGTACACCTTAAACTCATATAGTGCAGTGGGTCAACTTCATCTCAGTAAAACTGGTGGGAAAAAACCATGCTCTGAAGAAATAGTTTAACTTAAAATTTGACCTTGCTATAAAAGAAAAATGCTTTCTGAAAATGTAATTTTAGATTAAAATGTACATATAAATCTACTTTCTCAATGAATGTGGACTTCCATGGGTTTCAAAACTTGATATTGAAGCTCTGGTGTGGTGGCTGTGCCAATTTCAGCAGCACAGCTATCTTTTTATCACAAGATACACAGATAAAGCCTTAATGATTTCTCAGGTATTTGCTGGAGGTCATTGTGGTGTGGAGAAGACCACTCACTGGGAATCTAGTATTTTCTTTAAAGAAAGTTCTGTTGCTAAAAAAAAAAAAAAGAAGAAGAAAATTGAGAAAGCATTATTGTCTAGTATTTTGTCTTCATTATTTTATAAAGATGAGTGAAATGATAAAAATGGTTTACTTGGCCAGCAATAAGTCTGGCTCTCATAGTCTCAATATCATGAAAGAGGTATCAAAAAGGGTTCCTGAAACAGCAGATCTTTAGCTTCAATTAGACACTCTTTGCACTTAAGCCAATTTTGGACTTCAGGTCAATTTTGGGGAAAAAAAAAAGAACAAAATGTATAAACATGAATGAATCCTCTAAACAGCACAATGAAGAGATGCTTTATAATTGCTTGGATTTCTGAGGAAGGAACCACTCTTTAAAACATATACTAAACCTTATTGCCCATTTTCAGGAATGTATCATATGGAAATATTACTACCACCAGCCTTTCTCTCCTTTATTTTCTTCAGAGCTCTTACTATTACTTGCACTTACTTACTGTTATGCTATTGTTTGTTTACTTATTATTTCCCTTACATCTGTCTCATTCAAGACTATATCAAGTGCCTGTGTGCCTGGTACACAGCTGGGCACTTGGTAGTGGTTGAAAGAATCTCAGAATAAAAGGCATCTCCTTAAATTGAGTAAAAGTTAATATGGTGAAAAACCCACCCATTGCTTTATTTATCTCTTATTGTCACAGACTCATGCAAACTTTCTGTCTAAACAGTCTGCAGAGAAACGAGTACTAAACTAGGTTATGGGTTCTAATCCCAGGATTATCAGACTGGACTTTCAGCCTTTATTTCAAGTATATGTAAAATGGGGATGATAGCAAGCCTCATCTAGTTCATCTCAAGGGTTTATCCACATAGAAACCTTGTGAAAAGCATAAACCAAACATAAGTACATGCTGAGATTGTTACTAAGTGTTTTTTCCATGAGAAGTGATTGCTAATGTTAAATGTTAAGTGTTAGTGAAATTTGTTTCATAACTTTTCCCCCAGTTACATAGCCCCTTAAACTGAGTAATATCGGTACACATTACTAAAATCTTACTTATTCAATAAACATTTCTGTGTACTGTTTCCACTCTGATGAAAACATAAAAAAAAAAGTAAAGTGGGTCCAAGTGAGTTTGTAGAAGCATGGCTGACTTGTTCTAAATTTTCAATTAAATCTAAAAAGAAGTGCCTTTTACCTTTTGTGTTTTTTGTCCACAGCAAGCTCCAGCTCAGATTTCCACAAGTATTTTGGAAACAGTAATGAGTAGGTACTTTGCCAAAGGCTAGACTTCCAAGAGCTACGTATTA